TACTCCAGAACACTTGGACATGAAGTGCTTCATCTGTAGCACTGTTATATTGTTATATTGTCAAGCAAGTGCTGGTCACAGTGCTGATTTCAAATAGCCCAGGGCTGGAATTTCAAATTCCAGCAAAGTCATCCTGACTTTAAACTGTCTCTCCCACCCCCCCCTTTTTTTTTTTTTTTTAAGACAGACTCTCCCTATGTAGCCCAGCCAGCCTTGAACTCCTCATCTTCCTGCCTCAGCTACCTGAGTGCTGGTATTAGAGGTATGGGCTCCTTTTGACTTTGGAAGGAACTCAGAAGAAAGATACAGACTCAAGTCACAACAGGGAGCTCTCAAGAGCCAGCAAGTGTCCTGGCAGTGACCCTGGTCACTGATGGCTCTTATGGAGATGTCTGGGACTGTGCTGCTCAAGATGTAGGGTCCACAGACTGGTGACAGTGTGCACTAATTTTTCTGATGTACAGCGAACATCATTGATGTATATTTGTATGGACTGTCTAAATCTTTTACAATTTATTTTTATTTTTATTTTTTTGTAGTGCTGGGGTTTGAACTCAGGGCCTCATGCTTGGTAGGCAAGTGCTCTACCACTTGAGCCACTCCACCAGCTCCTTTTTTTGTGTGTGTTGGATATTTTCGACATAGGGTCTTGTGACCTTCTCCTAACCTTCCCCACCCCCACCATGGGCTGGCTTCAAACCAAGATCCTTCTGATCTCTGCCTCCTGAGTAGCTAGAATTACAGGCATGAGCCACTAGCACAAGCATATTTTTAAATTTTTGGCTTTTATTGAGACAGGGTCTTCCTCCATAGCCCAGGCTAGCTTTGAAATGGAGATCATCCTGCACGGCCCCCACTTTTACCAAAAGTTCAGTCCCCTAGCCTGGCAATGCCAATTCACCAAAACTTAGAACAGATTTTTGAGGAAAAGAAAATGAGTCTGATTATTATTCACCAAACAAAAGAGAGAGTGAGATTCAATCCCCAAACTGTTTTACATCTGAGAGAAAATGCTCTGTTTTTAAGGAGACACTCAGAAGTTTTGTTCTGGGATTATGATAGAATACAGGTCTCAGAGCAGATGGCAGCCTTGGTTTTTATATACTGGTTAACAGGTGCCACATCTCCAAAGTTACATGTCTTGTTAGACAGAGGTGTATTCCATCGGTGGTCAGACACAGATAAGGGGGGAGAGGATTGCCTGGGCTAGTAAAAGAAACCAATAAACAAATGAATAAACAATAAATAAATCGTGGTAACCCTGGGCTTCCTGTCATATGGAGGAAGAGAGGGAGAAGAAGGGGGCAGGGGAGGGGGGGATGTCAGTTTGAACTCCAGAATAATAAGCACAGCAGTCAAGCAGGTAGAGTGGCTCAAGCAATTCAGCACCTGCCTAGCAAGCGTAAATTCAAAATCCAGAGCCATCAAAAACAGAGAGAGAGAGAGAGAGAGAGAGAGAGAGAGAGAGAAAGAGAGAGGGAGAGAGAAGCCCAGCAATCTGCCCAGGAGCACAAGTCTTCTTAGTCCAGGTAACACAAGTGCTGGATGACAGGTGGGGGCCACCATGCCCAGCTCGAAATCTTAGTTTCCTTATTTCATCATGTATTTAGTGATGTTTTCCTATTACATATAAAATAATGGGTTTGTGTTCCTTGACGGCATTTTCTCTACAGTTCATATCATTTACCAAGGCTTAGTTGTGAGATGGATAGAAAATAAAAGTCGTTTCTTCCCTATGGGGACCGAGATACCCTGGGAAGGATTCCAGCATTTGGGAAATGGGATATCCCACACTTAGAAGGAGCTGAAGTTACACCAGGAAATCAGGGTAGCAAAGGAAGAATTGAGAAGTTTCTGTGGCATCGATATTTCCCATGGGGACTTAGGGGACCATACATTTCCTTCACTCCCCACCCAAAGATCCTGCTCAGAGCTCTTTGATTTTAGAGAATAAGAAGGTCAGCAGTGAGGTAGCTGGCTTGCCTGGAGTCACTGCTTTCCAGGAGCTCACATTTGAATCCCAACCCCAGGTCCCTGCATATCAGTCCCTATCCCAGTCCCTTACTCTCAAGTCACACAAAGAAAACAGAGTCAGAATCAAGTCATCTTTTTTTTCTTTTATCAGTCACATACTTTGTAGAAAAACGAATGTAGCAAATGGGTCAGAGTTGTATGAAAAAGGAATCCATGTCACCCTACTCACCTGTGGGAGCACAGCTGTCTCTACACCAGGCACAGTAGCTCCACTTGTCAGATGCCCCTTTGCCTACACAGCCCTGGGCACACCTGCCACAGCCCACGGGGCAGCAGGAGAAACAGCCTGGGAAAGGACGGGAAGAGTGAGGGGGCACAGCTGACTTTTTACAACAGCAGGCCTGGCATGAGCTCTGCCCAGCCTGCTGTCAGGAGACACTGAGGGATCATTGAGGTGAGTCATGCTGTAGAATCCCCACATGAGCCCAGGACAGGTAGAAAGCCAGGGGAGGCAGTGACAATTCCAGTGAGGACAAAAGGAAGGCCATATGGAGAGGAAAGTCCTCAAGGATCAGGTCTGTCCTTGGCTTCCTGGTGACCACACTGGGCCTCAGTTGTCTGTTATAAGAGTAAGGAAACACGATCTCCAAAGTTCTTGATCTGATCCTGAAGATCAAGGGCTGAAGGGAGGGCTCCAGGAAGCAGGTCATTGGCCTTTTTCTGCCCACAGCCCACTGGATTTCCTCCAAGGACTGAGCAAAACCCCCAGATCCACAGGCAGGTCCTACCATTCTCCCTGCAGGAGGTGCATTTTCACTCTTTGCAGCTGCAGGAGTCAGGGCAGGTGCAGGGGCCTCCTATGAGGAAGAGAAGCCAGCAGTGAGCTGGAGAGAGGTGCAGGCGACACACAGCAGGGGGCATTAGCTCCTCAGAGCACTTCCTCTGAGCAGGGCCAGCCCTGAGTGCTCCTTCCCCATTCAGGGAGAAGGGAGAGAAGTCTGGTCCTCTGTCCCCTTATCTGGAAAGGGCAAGTACCCTCCTGTTACACCAAAAATGAAGTTTTCAAATGCCAGACCCAACCCTGGATGACTGAAATTAAAGGTCAGAACCTCAGGTTCTCAACTCCAGGGAAGCAACCTCTACCTGCCTACTCCAGGACTGCGCAGAGTCCTCTACTCAGTTTGCTAGCCCTGGACATTGGATGACCCTGGGTAAAGTCAGAGGACAGTCTCAGCCTACCTTCTCTAGACTGTAAGATGTGACACAGAATTATGTTCAGAAACTCACCTATAAGGAAAGCATTACAAAAATTGATTTTAATCAGCTCAGAACACAATTTGACCTTCTTGAACACAGGGACACTCTGCGCTGTGGCCCACAATTGGACGTCCTAAGGATCAGAGTGAGATATCCATTATCCGTGTTATAAGAGCACTTAAGAGTCCATTTGGAGGCTAGGTGAAGATGGAAGGACAAAGCAAGCTTCTGGTGGCCTGCTGGAAGACACATTTGAACCCTGAGCTCTCCTACTGGCTTCAAGGCTGGAAAGGGCCCAGAGCAAAAGCCCTGTCCCAGTCCTTGCACCTGCCCTGATAATTGTACCTGCTCCACTCTACCCCCAGGCAGCCAGTCCCTAGGCCTTGGCCAGACTGAGCCCACTCTGTGTCCCAAGTGTGTTATTACTCAAGTTCAGCTCTGGAGGTCCAACCTCCCCGGAGGCAGAGGCAGTGTGCCTGGCCCCACATGTCTGCTGGCCTGTCCACCTTTCCAGTTCCAGCAAGTTCTCAAGCCTCTTAGCATTCCATGGTCTCTTCCCTCGCCCTAGGGGTGCATTGTGGATGTCACCGTAGCCTTGCAGGAGCCCATCTTCCCAAATTGTTGAGATCAGGGTGAGCATATAGGATTTGCGTGCAGAGGACCAGCCACTAGTGACACCTTTGCCTCCCTCACATTGCCTGTGCCTGTCCCCACCTTAGTCCTTTGGCCCTGATGCCCTTGTATACAGCTCAAGGGCTGGATTAGGGCTTGGCCCCCTTTCTTCCACTCTCCAGGCTGAAGGAGCCTATGAGCTCTGGTGTGTGTAGGAGCCTCCTTGGCTAAGAACTGTCCCTGAACTCCCCATGCCCAGCCTGCCCACCCCACAGGAAAATACTAAGGGCTTGAAGTGCTTCATCTGGACCAAATAATCACATACCCGTTACCTTGCCAAGAAAACGCTGGGCACATCCCTGAACACACTGCTGTTTGAAGCAGCCAAGCACTGGAATTTGGAAGAGCAAATTCATCCTGCCTTTGTGGGGAGCTTCCAAGACACAGAGCCAAATCACATCAGGGAACTTCAGGGGTCAGCTAAGTTCTGTCAGTGGTCTGGGTCACTGATACCTGATTGTGGGGACATTAGGGCCAGTGCTGCTCCAGTTATGTGGTCCACACTGGGTACTGTCTGCAGTTTCCAGTCTGCAATGCACATTGTCAATTAATCAATAAACATTCAGGCAGAGAAGATAGATCTGTAGTTTCCTTATTTCTTCACATTTATTCATAATTTTCTCTTGAATCTAAAATAGGTTTATGTTTTTTTTATTTCATTATCTGCAAAATTGTATCAGTTCATTTACCATGGCTCAGGTTTGAAATGCCTAAAAATTAGAAAGTGTTTTTCCACATGGAGTTTGATAAGCTTGATGAAGATTTCAGCCACTTTCAAGCTGGATTTCCCACCTTGGATCAATTTCAAGCCTAAAATCTATGGGGAACTGAGGTTGAGTCTGGGAATCAAATTGTAAATAAAGGCTTATGTATTTTCTATAACACTACCACTACACACGAGGAAGGAAGGGACCACACACCAAAGAATCTGGTACCTACTTTTCTACGTTACAGAAGATGAGGTTCATAGTGGCTTCTTTGTACAATTTAGGGGCCAACATTTGATCCCACGTCCCAGGTCTACAATTCCCAGTCTGCCCACCCCACACCAAATTTCCAAAGCACACAAAGAAAACTAGAGCCAGATTCTAGTCATCAATTTTTATTACAATTCACATACTTCACACACAAAAAAAGGAATGTTGAAAAGAAGTCCCAAATGTTATGAAAAATAAATTCAGGTTTGTACAATTGCTCTATTTACACTTGGGAACAGAACTGTCCCCACATCAGGCACAGCAGCTGCACTTGTCAGATGTCTCTTTGCAGACACAGCCCTGGGCACACTTGGCACAGCCCACAGGGCAGCAGGAGCAGCAGCCTGGGGAAGGAAGAGCAGGGTGAGAAGCAGAGCAGACTGACCAGCACCTCCTGTCTGTGGCTGGAGACCCAACTTATTCACAGTAGTGTTGTCACCAGGGCATTGTTGTGTCTCAGACAACAGGGGGTACTTTAAAGATTTGATACCCAATAGAGAAAGGCTGCCCTGCACCTGGGAGCTGGGGACAATGCACAACCTAAAGAAGGGGTGGAATGTGCTCTGGGGACAAAGAACAAACAGTTCTCAGAGGCAGACTCTGAGCCAGTTCTGAGTTCCCTCCCCACCTCACCCAGTCCAGATTGCTGGAAACCGCCCTCCCACACACACACTCACTGGCCTGGCTGGAGACCTGGCCCCGCCCACAAGAGTGTTGTCACCAGGGCATGGCTGTGTCTCAGACAACAGGGGGTACTTTAGAGATTTGGTTCCCAATAGAGGAAGTCTTCTCTGGGAGCTGGGGAGAGTGCAAAGTCTGGACATGGGTGCAATGGCCTCCAGGGACAAAGGACAGCCAGTTCCCCAGAGGCAGACACTAAGCCAGCCCTGTCATCCTTCCCGACCTCACCCAGTCCAGATTGCTGGACAACCCCCCACTCACTTTTCTTGCAGGAGGTGCATTTGCACTCCTTGCACTTGCAGGAGCCAGCACAGGTGCAGGCGTCACCTGTGAGGAGGAGAAGGCAGCAGTGAGCAAGGAGAGATGAGACAGGAGCAGAGGTCAACACCTGAGCCCAGCACAGCCCAACCCCAGACCAGCTGCTCTTCCACTGAAGCCTCAAGGAAGCCTCACCCCGCCTCTTCCTTGACGGGAAGAGGGGTCCCCTGCCTCCTTCAGTCCACGCAGCTCAAGATTTGACAGAGCCCCAGGGCTCAGCCTTGAAGAACCCCTGCTGGGTGACAAGGACAGAACCACTGTCTTCCCCATGCTGACATGGACCCATTCGGAGGACGTTTCTGCTCCAAGAGCAGAGAAAGACGCTTGCAAGAGAAAGAGAGCAGAACTACCGACCAAACTCGCCCTCCATCTCTAGCGGCACTGCTCGGTGATCGGGAAATGGTGTTTGAAGAAGTAAATGTCGGGGTGTCTCACCAGATGCGCAGGAGCAGTTGGGGTCCATCTCGAGCTCCGGGGAGGCTGCAGATGTGGCGGAAGGCAGAGGCTGTGTGGCTGCTGGAAGGCGTTGGCGCCCAGAGCGCCGCCTCCTTATTTATAGTCGGGGGTTTGTCCCGGGCGCAAAGGGTTTGCACCCGCCGCGCCGTGTCACCCGCCCGCGGGCCTTGGCGGGCTGAGCGCACCCTGCGGGCCGGGCGCAGAACCTCCCTGAAACCCGGGTCTCTGAAGTGCGGTTCGCGTGGTGGGAGGGCGGTGCGCCCCGCCTCGCTGCCTCCCGCTGCCTCCCGCTGCCTCCCGCATCCCTTCGCTGGCCTCAGCTTTCCAGTGCCCGAGAGTTTTCGGGTCACTGTCAGAATCCCAGAAACCGAGTGGTGGCTGTCCCCAACCGCAATCCCGCACAGTGATGTCATCCTAGCCTGGCTGTACTCTTCGTTCCAGCCATTGCTGAAGTCACAGCGAGAAGCGAGGCTTTGTGTGCACAGGACTGGTCGTAGTGTCCGTCTATCTTTCCAGAGTTACCTGTGCCTGTCCTCACGTTAGTCCTTGGGCATTCTGCTTGTACATAGCAGGCAGATGGGTAGGGACCTGGTCTGTCCCCCTTTGTTTCACTGTCCACTCAATGGGCACTGGGGTCCTTGGCCTTGGCCTAGAGCACTGGTGGGGCTCCCCTTAGCCCAGGCTGCTACCCCACTCCATGACAGTGTTACACCAAGTGTTTCTTCTGGAGCCAGTAACCACACACATGCCACGTTGCCACAAATACTGGGTCAAGTCCTAAATCTGTGACCACTCGCTGATGTCAAGTGGCACAGGGCTAGAATTTAAACAAGTGCATCCTGACTTTGAACTTTCTTGCTTTTTTTTTTAACATTTAAATACAAGGTCACCATATCAAAACTAGACAACTCCTCTTGCCTCAGTGACATGAGTGATGGATGGGACTACAGGCATGCTCGACCACATCCAGTTCTGCATATTTGGATTCCTTATTTCTACACATATTTATTGAAGTTCCCTGTTCAATCTCAAAAAAGCATTTTTTTTGTGTGCTTTGATTTCAATCACGAATAATTAAACCACTTACCAAGGCTGACACCTGAAAGTGGTAGAAGATAAAAACGGTTCCTTCCCTATGGAGACTGAGATGCCTTGAGTGGCATTCAAGTCACTGAAGAGATGGATTTGCCAGGCTGCATCACATACAAGCATAAAATCAGAGAGGGGGCTGGAAGTGAGGGCTCTGACAGGAGGCCAGAGAAAGTAAATAAGAAGTTTCTGTGCCATAGACTTCCCTTGAGAATGGAGGGGACCATGTGTGCACCCCTAACCCGAACCCATATTATCCAGCACCCTCCTCTTATTTTACCGAAAAGGAAGTTCAGTGAGGTCACCTGGCTTCCCTGAAGACCTTGCTTTATAGGAGTTGACATGAATCCTAGCCTAGGTCTATGCCTGCCAATCAGTGCCTCACCCCAGTCCTGATCTCTAAGGCCCACAGAGAAACAGAGTCAGAAGCAATTCAACGACCTGTCTAAAAATAAATATATACATCAAATGAAATGAAGTGCGGAGAAGGATTTTTGTGTCTCCAAGTGCCAAAGCAGTGCTTTCTCCTGCCGAGTTTGTGCTGGCCCTCAGTCACACTGAGCTATTGGACAATATGAACAAGATAATGTCAGGCTGATGTCAGCCTTGAGTCTCAGCACCCTGAACTGTGAAAAGGGGGGACAAGGAAGGTGACAATGCCATTAGGAACTCAGGTAGAAGAAACGATTGAACACATTGAGTTCACCCAGCTCAGACTAGAATCTACCATCCTCAACCCAGGGACACCGTGTGCTGTGGCTGTGAAGTTGGTGGCCTTTGGTCGAGATTCAGGTATCCTTTACAACTGGAGCAGGAAAACTCGGTGTCCATTTTTAGAATTCTTTTCTTTTCCTTCCTTTTTTAACTTTTGGTGGTACTTGGGGTGGAACTCAGTCTCACACTGGCAGGATGACACTCTACCACTTACGACCGACATCAGCTTGGTCTCCATTTTGAATTCAGGTGAGGACACAATGAAACCAAGTGGTCAAGGGCTGATGGCTGCAGGAAAGCAGGTGACAACCTCCACATTCTGCTCCCTACAAACTAGTGAAGGGGCTGGGCACAGAGACTCTGTCCCGCCTTTGTGCACAAGCTGAGCCAGCCTGTCTTGTGGCCTTGGCAAATCCATCCTGGTCTCCCTTTGTTGCCCAGGTGGTCTGAAATCCCTCATCCTCCTCCATCACCTCCTGGGTGTAGGACTGAGGACTTGGCCACCACTCCTGGCTCCTTTTGAGATTCAGAGGAACTCAGAAGACCCAGAGCCAGTCACAACAGGAGCTGTCAGGAGTCAGGAGGTCCTGTCATGGCCCTGGTCTCTGAATGCTCCTTGTGGACATGTCTGGGCCTGGATTGCTCCAGGTGTGAGGTCCACACATTAAGGACAGTGTAACCCTTGTTGTTAATGTGCAATGCACACTATCAAGGGACATTTGTAGAGTGTGTATATCTTTTATTCTTGTCGCTTATTTTTTGACTTTGGCTTTTATTCATACAGGGCTTCCTATGTACTTTAGACAGTTCTGGAAATTGAGATCATTCTGCCCAACCTCCAAGTACTAGGATGACAGGTGTGGGTCAGCACGCCCAGTTCTAAATTATTACTTTCCTTTTTTCTGCATATACTTAAGGAATTTTCCTTGTTAAATATAAAATAATATTTTATATTTTGTGTTCTTTGTGTTCTTTGATGTCATTTTCTCTGCAAATAATATTAGTTAAAAAGGCTTTGGTCTGAACTAGATATAAAATAAAAATTTTATCAGGCCCTGGTGGTTCAGGCCTACAATCCTAGCTACTTGACAGGCTGAGATTAGGAGGATCAGGAATCCAGGCTAGCTGGGCAAATAGTTCAAGAGATCCCATCTCCAAAAATAATCAGAGCTAAATGTATTGGAGGTGGGGCTGAAGCCTGCTTTCCAAATGGGAAGTGCAAACACCAGTACCACCACTACTACCAAAAAAAATTCCTCACTATGCAATTTGAGACGTCCTGAGAGGTACTCACACACCTGGGGAGTTGAATTCACATCCTGTATTCACTTTTGAACACAAATCAAAGGAGAAGATGAATCTAAGTGCATTAAAAAAGGATTGAGAAGCTTCCATGCCACCGACCATTCCCATGGGAATTTTGGAGACCATTTTTTCTCCCACTCTCCACCCAAACATCCTGCTCAGTACTCTTCTATTTTTTTTGGGGTGGAGGGTGCCTCATGCTTGCTAGGCAGATGTTCTACCACTTGAGTTACTCTGCAGCCAGCTCTTCTCTTTACAGAAGAAAAAGCTCAGTCAGATCATCTGGCTTGGTGAATGTCACTGTGTTCTAGGAGCTCATATTTATATCCAGATTGGTCTCTGCATCTCAGTCATTCTCTGTTCCCAATGCACACAAGAGAATCCAGAGTCAAAATCAAGTCAGTCACATACTTTATAGAAAGAGGAATGTAGCAAGTGGATTCTGAATTGTTGAAAACTGAATCCAGGTGTATACAAGTGTCTATTTAATTGTGGGAGCAATGCTAACCCTACAGCAGCCACCAAACCAAAGCTGGATGTATTTGATACCACTTTACAGATGCAGCTTTGGGCACACCACGCATGGTCCAGGGACAGCAAGAGCAGAAGCCTGAGGTAGGGAAGATAGAGTGAGGGGGCAGAGCTGATTTACACGAGCAGGCCTGGCATGAGCTCAACCCAGCCTCACAAGACCCTTAGATCAGGCTGCCTGCTGTCAGGAGACACTGGGGATCTTTAAGGTGAGTCATACTATAAGAAGTTTGTTCAGCCGTACCTGGGCCCAGTTCAGGTAGAAAGCCAGAGGCGGCAGTTACAGGTCCCATGAAGACAAAAGGAAGATCAGACACAAGAAACTGCACACAAAAGGGAAGGGGATCCTCAAGTATCAGGTGCCTGTTGCACTTTCTGGGCTCAGTTTCCCTGTTAAAAGGACAGGAACCAACCATATCTAAAGTTGTTCTTCCTCTTCTCCTGAATCAGGTGCTGATGTAAGAGTCAAGATGCAGGTCACTTGCCTGTTGCTGCCTATAGCCCTGTGTGGTTCCTCCTATGGCTCAGCAAAGCCCCCAGACAGAGCCCAAGGCAGGACCCCCTTCTCTCTTTGTGTAGGAGACTCATGAGCACGCTGCACTGCAGGAGTCAGGGCAGGTGCAGGAGCCACTGTGAGGAGAAGACAGCTGTGAGCTGCAGAGATGCAGAGAGACTCCACAGGGACATTAGCTGCCCAGAGCGCCTCCTCTGAGCAGGGCCAGCCCTACCTGCTCCTCCACTCAGGAACTAGTGAGCTGAGTAAGTCTGGTCTTCTGTCCCCATTTCTGGAAAGTCTCAGTGTCCTGAACGCTGACATGGGGGACAAGAAAGGTAGCAATGCTGTCAGGAACTTAGGTAGAAGAAACCATTGAACACACTGAGTTCACCCGGCTCAGAACCAGAACCATGACGTCCTCAAATCAGGGAAAACAGGTATTGTGTCTGGGAAGTCAGTGTCCCTAGATGAAGATTGATACATATTTTTCTAGTGACAGAGGACAACTCAAGGTCCGTTTTTAGGATTATTTTAATCTCTCTCCTTTTCATTTTTATTTTGTATTTTTAAATTTAGGCTGTTCTGGGGATGAACTCATACTTGCACTTTCTAGGCAGATGCTCTGCCACTGAAGACCATCTTCAGAAGCCAGGCATCAGTGTCGCTGGCCTGTAACCCTAATTACTCAAGGAGGCAGAGATCAGCAAGTAGTTTGAGAGCCACTATCTCAAAAAAAAAAAAAAAATCCATCACAAAAAAGGGCTGGTGTGTGGTTCAAGTTGTAGGCCCTGAGTTCAAAACCCCAGTACTGCAAAGAAAAAGAAGAAAAAAAAGACCATCTTCAATTCGGCTCCGGGCCCATTTTGAATATTTTGAATCCAGGTGAGGACACAGGTGAACCCAAATGGCCAAGAGCTGGTGCCTGCCAGAAGGCAGGTGACGACCTCC